AAATATATTTAGATGCAGCTTACTTCAGGTATATATTTTTTAGTTATTTACTTAGATTTAAAAAATATAAATACTTAAACTAGATTAGAATTTAAGATTAAAAGACTTAAAGTAAAAAAAAATAGATTAAATTATAGATAATAAAATAAATAGATATTAATAAAAAAAATGTTTTTAAAAAAACAAAATAAAATAATATAATAATAGTATTCTTTTAGTATAAATAGTTCGAAAAGTATAAGTATCTGATTTAAAATAATTATAAATCTAATACTAGTATAAACTATAGTAAAAATATTTTTTATAATTTTTATAATTAGTTTTTTTAAAAGATAGATATTATGCAGTAAACAGGTTTATAAAATTATAATCGGAGGTAATAGATTAGACTGGTTTAATATTTAGCTAATAAGATTAAATTTTTAGAATATTAATAATTAAAATTTATATTAATCTTCAGAATCGGTTTCTTTAATTATATAGATATTAGATATAGTAGTTTTCTAGATCTTATAAAAAACAGACAAGAACTATATAATTATTTTTTAAAAATATATTATTTAAAAATATAAATTTTAATTTACAGCTAATATTCTATTATAATAAGAGTTTTAAAATATTAGAATATATTTTTATATTATAAACAAGTTTCTAAAATTCTATAAAAAATATTAAAATATTATTTCTATTAGCAAAGACTAAAAAGTTTATTCTAAATATTTTAAATAATATCCGGATCTCCAAAAGTATACTCGAGAATATTAAGAATATTCTAATAATTAGAAAGAATATAGATTTTATATTTAATATAAAGTTAGATCTAAGTATAAAAGATTTTTTTAAAACGGCTGATTATATAGGCTTTATAGATTTCGAAAATAGTATAATAATTAGTATTAATTCTTATTTTTTTTTAGATTTAAAAAGTAAAATAGTAGAGGTTTAAACAGTTATTTTTAAACTTATTAAAATCGGATAATTATTTAAAAAAAAATAAAAATAAAAAATTTAAAATTAATTTATATAATTATTTTTATTAAAGCAGCTGCAGGGGTGTTAACAGATAGTTTAAAAGTTTAAATAAAAATATTTATTATAAAAATAATAATTTAAATAGTTTTAGTATATTTTTTCTAAATATAATTAAATTTTTTAAAAGTAATATCACGGGCGGAGGTTATTTTTATAAAATATTAATTTAGATTAATAGACTATTTAGTCTAATAAATAAAAATAGTATTTTTTATTATTATTTTTTATTATAAGTAAATATACTTAGTATTTGTATTAGTAATATAAATATAAATCTGATTATAATAATCATATTATTTCTTCAGACGGGCGGTAATATGCTGTATAAATTCTTCTAGATTATTTAAAATTAACAGAAGATTAGGAATAATAGATATTTTGTTTATCTGCTCTAAAGGCGGAGCTACATAGTGTCAGAATACAGGCTGGCTGGGTGGTAGGAATGGCAGAGCTGGCTGGAAAAGGTTTTAATAACTTATTCTCTTTTATTCTTTAACTGCTACTCGGGTTAGACTATTCTTAGATTTATAGACAAGACGTAGCTCGAAGAGCTATAAAAAGATTTAGAAACAGGCAGATTCTTAAACAGATACAGGATTATATACAGTAGATAGTCAGAAAGACAGATCAGATTACTGGAGTCGATAGAATCGAATAGATTAAACAGATTAAATAGATTAAACAGATTAAACAGGTTAAGCAGATTAAACAGGTCAAGCAGGTTCAACAGGCTAACCAGGCGGTTGCGGTGAACAAGGTAGAACAGGTAGAGAGGGTAGACAAGGTAAGTCAGGTGTATCAGGTCTGCACCGTGACACTATTTTTATAATATTTAATAAAATAATTGTTAGAAAATATAGTTACCGAGAAAAACTATATAAATAATATTATACAGATTTCTTTTTAAGTTTAATTTATTATACAGATAATTCAGCTTTTTTAGATAAAAATAAGAATATAATAGACTATCTAAACTAAAGTAAGAAAAAAAATAATAAAATAAAAACAATATATTTATTTTTAGTAGTCTAATTATTAATAAATATATAGTTTTTCTAATATTATATATTATAATTAAAAAATACAGTTTAAACCGAGCTATAATTATATATTTTTATATATATTTTTTACTATAAGAACTATAATTTTATAAAAAGCTGAATTTTATTAATACTATTAGAATTCTCTAATTAATTTTTTAAAATAAAGATAAAGAAGATACTAATATTTCTTTGTATTATTTTTTTTTGATTTAAAAAGCTTATTTCTATATATTTTTAAATAATAGTTAAAATAGTTAAATTAATAACTACTTAATCTAGATATATTTTAACCGTGCTAAAGCCTAAATAGATATAGTAAATAAATCTTAGTACTAAAAATAGTTAAAATAGTTAACTATTTCTTTTTTAGCTATACCGCGGTTAGATATAAAAATTTTCTTAACCTGGCTATAACCTGGCGGTCAGGTATAAAAATTCTAATTAACCTGACCTGACCTGGCCGTTAGCCACTCTACTCTATATCAGGGCCTTGGTCCTATAACATTATCCAAATCTCACAGCTAAATCAGTTTAATATTATGATTATATCTGTTAAATAGTTCAAACTTTTTATTATTATTGTAATGAACTATAATTTATATTTGAAAAGTTCAATTCAAAAAAGTTATCTATTAAAGTATTTAAGATATAAGTTTCGCTTTCTTATTACGTTTATTTTATGAGAGGTCTCCCTACCTTAGACTCTCTTCTTCGCGGAGTGGGGAGTTTTCAATTATGTCGATGATCGTAGCTGATGAGTACACTTTGAGGTATGATGGACCGGGTGTGATCTGTATGGGGTCATTTTCGGAAAAGTCCTATATTTCTGGACCTACGCAATTGGAATCACTTTGTGTTCGCTATCCGTAACTTTGGTTCGTGAGGAACTTTGTAGTCATAGGGCTCTAATGAATGTGTAGCATCTAGAATTACTGTTACAGTAAAGCAAGTTCTAACCGATCTCACAATTTCCCATTGATGGTCGTCTTCCGTTTGCCCGAGTTTCTTTTGTGATCATTATGGGCTCTGCCCATCCTTCAAAAGGCCCCAGTCCCTGTAGAGTAGAGGTCATCATGTGGTGATCTCCCTCTTCGGATACTGTCCATCACAGTAATCGTCTTTTACTAGCAACCAAACACGGTTCCAAGCACCAAATCTCAAAGTGGAATCTAGCTCGTGTTTCTGAGGAGAAATCTGAAAATGTGCCTCCAGGAACAGAGCAATAGATAGCGCCCAGTGGTTCTAGTTCGGCAACATCGTTCTGGCCTTGATAATGGTAGTATGTATTTGGGTGAGAGATTCGACTTTCATGTCGCGGTTACTGGACTAGACTAGTAATATATTGAGTAAACATTATCTGACTTGTTCCCGAGGCTTTAAGACAGTTCTTTGCAGTTGAGTAAGATTGCCAGAGAACATTTTCCACGGACTTGGAAGCTCAAGCGGGCGAGTCCGAGGTTAGTTCGTTGATTGCTTGGTGATTGGTTATGATCGTTGACCTAACTGACGACATTTCTGTAAGGGAGCCGCATAGATGAATAAGCACTGGATCGCGTGACCGGATTACAGCCACAACCACGAATGCTGGATGTATGTATGAGAATGAGGTAGAATTAACCGCTAGTAGCGTAGCATCTCTAGGAGCTCGGTGGAAAGAGATCGGAGACGCCCGCGCACATCCTTCTCGATCTGGTCAAATACAAGACTTGAGAAAGGATAGATATGCTCGATGTAAGCAGGTCCTTCGGGCTCGGTGGCAGTGGACGCCGTGCTGGAGTTCCAGGCTGGGTTCTGTTCACGGTTGCTGTGCAGTTTGAAGCGGTGGCATAGGATATTTACGAGCCGCTGGACGCGATGCAGCTGGCTGAGGATCAGCTGCGCCGCCATGCGAGTCTTGCCCTCGCTTTCCCTCCCGTACGCGAGAGGGGGTCCCATGGTGATCTTGGGCGAGATCTGCTGACCAGAGTCCACATAGGATGAGGAGGAAAGCTGAGTCTCCGCGAGCGAGTCGGTACGCACCGTCGTCCCCTCTCCCACTCCTGGACTGTGCGCCTCCACACCCAGGAGCGGTCGAATGATCGTCGCATACCAGCCTAGGACTTTGAGAATCACCACAGAAAGGATTGCTAGCTGGTACCCATCCTCGGAGCACCGGCACTGGAGGATCTCGTCAAGAGCCTGTACAACCTTTGCATTGTTGTTCACTACGCATTGGATGGTCGGGATCTCATTCAGCTCCCATCCTCCGCAAGTTGAGTTCAGACACCGCGCAGAAGAGGAAGAAGAGGAAGAAGACGAAGAAGAGGAAGAAGAAGAAGAGGAGGAGGAGGAGGAGGAGGAGGAGGAGGAGGAGAAATATGTTAAGAGAGCCAAAGTCTGGCTAATGGAGCAGCACGCGGAACCAGGATCAAGCGCCTTAGGCATTGAGGGCTGACTGGCGGAAGGCTCTGGACGAAGCAGGGAGCCGGGCAGGGATGGTTCCGACCTGGCTGTCTGATCTCCGCCAGCTGAAAGCTGGCTTGGGACCAGAGGGAACACCTCCGGGGCGCGATTGAGCTCCTCGAGCTGGCGAAAGTCGGTTGTCAGGTGGACAGGCAGCTCGCCCGCCTCAGGTACGCCGAGCAGTGAAGTGGAGTGGGAGAAGGCCAAAAAGTCATCGAAATTGCATTGCAGGCCGGTTTGAGTGTCGGTTACAGAATCAGGCAGCGTAGGCGTAGGCGTCCAGGAGAGAATGTCTACGTAGTTTAGCGGGTGATAGGTCTTGGGAGAAGCATCTATAATCATCCGAGTGTTCAGCCTCTCCCCCTCACATGGAGAGGAAGATGTGGTGCGCGAGGTGGTGATGGTCGTCGTCGTCGGGGAATGATGAGCATTCGTGGTAATAGACTCCCAATGCTTGAGGCGCGCGCCTGGTTTGCGTCGTGCGCGTTTGCTTTCCAGATACTCGCAGACCATGTTGCGTTTCACACACCGCGCACATTGCGGCTTCTTCTTGGTGCATCTGATCTTGGATGCTGCGCAGCTCTTGCAGCTCTCCCGGAATTTGGGGCCGGTTGGGGACAGACTCCGCCGAGTTCGATCCGGAGGGGGGCATTGTAAACTGGTCATTGGGTTGCTTCTGACATGTAGAGGACGCAATGGTCGGACATGACAGTAGCAATGAATGGAGTTTATGAGGAGAAGGATCGAAAGTCGGGACGAGGGGCTAATTTGTCGATTGATGGAGGTGAAGATGAATGACGGGTGAGGAGTTCCCAATTGCCACTGCACTTTATCGCTCTGCTCGGATTGGCTCTTGCACAGTAGAGCGCTCTCAGCTCTAAGCCGGATCAGTACCGGAAAGCCGCCGGGGAAAAAATGGAGCGGGGGACTTACATCTGCTTTATGTTTTTGCTTCTTGATTGGGTCGAAAATAGCTTACTCGTATATCCTTGTAGATGGTCTAAATGATGAAGGAAACCTAAGATACCGCAACATGCAACTTGGAGCAGCTAATATTCAATTGACAAAAGTCCCACAGCAGCTTTAATTGATTCAAAGGTGACAAGACTTTTTGTCTTCTTGTGTTTTTTTGCCGCAGGGATCAGAGTAGAGTATTATCATCATAAGGCGTTTTGGGCGGGGAGGGAGGGTGGGTGGGGTGGGGTACTAGATTACCGGGGTCAGTTGTAGTAAGTACATTGCATAACCGACGGTCGTCTGTTATCTCACACGTTCAGCTTGCTAATCTTTATTTGGTATCCTTTGCAGGCGCTGATATCGCTTTTTGGCACTAACCTCTACAAGCGCGAAACAAAAGAACTCCCTTGACGTGAATGGACTAAGGAGAATTTTGTTATCAAGGACACTGATGTGTGGGACAATAACTAACTGCGTTTCCGAGCAACACTTCTGATGTACTACTACGAATATTACGCCACTTTGCATTTCCCCCTCCTTTTCTAGTACCTTTATCATAGCAACGCCCCCAGTCAACTGCAGGAGACTAGGCCTCGAGCTCCAGAACATAATTAAACTGGAAGAGGGAAGCAGGGAAAGCATAATCGTCCTTCCGATGCGGCCGTGCGAGGCAGGGGTTAAAGAAGGCCGAACCGCAAAATCTCTATTCAGATCAAGGGCTGAAGGAGCTGGTATGATTGGAGGTGGCAATGCACGGTGGGAAGCAGAGGCTTTCCGTCGGGCTAGGGTAACCTGACTGTATTAGCGCTGTCTAGAAGTGCACCGGCCCTATGAATGGTGAAAAACCTGGAATAGCAGAAATTTCTCCAGCGTCCTGCTACGGGAGTCTGATTATAGTGGGCACCAGGACTAAATACTGACTGTGGCAACGCATGGCTACCACCTTCTAGAGGAGAGATCATCCCCATCATTCATCAATATCTGCCATTAGATAGGCCGAGTCAGTGGTCTCAATCAACGGGAGACCATGCTGGTCCGAAACGAGGGGTAAATTCGGCCGCGTTTCTCCCCCAGCTAGCGCTAGAAATCGGCCGCCCACTATATTGCGAATGGCCCGTGGCCTGACTTGGATTCGCGGCGACAACTACCTTGTCAATTAGGCCTATGTGATGAAGCGAATACTAAGGACCTGGATCGGATTCATGGTCTGAATTGCCTGACCAGACGGTATCTTCCTAGATCAGCCACTTGATTCAGATGGATTGACTAAATGGTTAGGGGCAAGGCCGAGGCAGGCGGGGAAACCACGCTTTATAACGAGGGACATTCATCTTGTCCTCAATTCTGTAGATCTATATCCACTGATCACAGTGTCTCTCTTTTACACTTTAAGAACCTGCCCCCTTTGATTCCGTGCAACACATATATTTCCTTACCTGCCATGCTCAATCTGGCCCAGCTCCAAAGCCAAACTCGTGAGCTTTTAGCAGCCCTCAAGCAGCTCACGGAGCATTGTCCTTCGGCCGTCGCTGGAACGACTGAAGGCATGATCCCAGGGCTTTCACCGTGGTCAACGACTGGGGAATCGGGGGAGGCGACCCGAGCACGAGAGACGGTACTGAAATGTCTTGCGAAGCTGCAAGTTTCGCTGGCAGGTCCGATTGATGTCCTCCAGCACATGGCGAGCCAGGTATCATCTCCTCGACTCATGTTCTGTTATCTGGGTTGACATGGTCGCTCAAACGCGAAAGAAAATACCACTTGGGACTCTCATCATACTAACTTCTTGGTGGTTAGACCCAGCTTCTTGCGTGCTTACAATGGCTAGGAGAGTTCCAAGTGCCAGCCTGCATCCCGCTCGACGGCAGTGCCTCCATCAAAGATGTCGCGGAGCTCATTGGCGTTCCTTAAAACCACATCTGTCGGATCGTGCGTATGGCAATCACTGCAGGCTTTCTGCAAGAGCCGGAACTTGGGCACGTGGCTCACAGTCCGTTGTCGGCTGCTTTCGTGACGAATCCCTCTTACCTTGACGCCGCGATGTTCCTGGCTAGAATCACAACTCCCGCTGCCCTGAACATGCCCTCAATCACTCGACAGCGCACAGCCGGCATGTGTGAACGGGTAAATCAAGTTGAACAAAACAATAATATTATCAATATGGTTACCTCTTCCACCCTCGACGAGACGGCCCTGCCTCGGCTGGAGCGGCAGTGGTATGCGTATCTACGATTTGGCACCGGAAACCTATGTGACACGGCCACAGATATTATATCCTGTTTGAACTCATTCCAAGGCACCAGCGCGACAGTGGTCGAGGTAGGTACCTGCGGTTTCTCTTTCTCGTCTGAATGTTCTCACGCACCCCGTTGTCATACTGACCGTGCGTGCGCCACACGCAGGTGGGAGCGCGTTCATTGGACCGTGCGATGACGCTTGCTAATCGATACCCTACGCTCCGGTTCATCATTCAAATTCACCTGCCCAGCTCTGCGTCTGGTAGCGGCAAAGATGAGGCCAAGTATGACCGTACGCGGGCCATCCGCTCCCATTCGCAGATCACAGTGCAGTATCGCACACCGGGTACGCCCCAGCAGATTCAAGACGCGGCGGTCTATATCATCAACTTTCCCCTCCCGTTCCCGGGCGTGTCATCATGCTCCATCTCCGCGCAGCTCGAGACGGAGCTGCGAGCACATTTGCAGGCGTTGCGCTTGAGCCCGGCAGCGACGCTGGTTCTCACAGCACCCGCGCTGCCTGAGCGGGGGGCGAGGGGCACCGAGGTGGCGGTGCTCACTCGTATTCGCGACCTCTCTTTTTTGCAGCTCGCCAACGATCGGGAGCCGGAAATCTCAGAGCTAATCAATCTGTTGAACGGGGTGGGTGACAGTGAGGGTCGGTTTGTCGTGGTGAAAAAGGTGAAATCCACAGCAAATAACGGCGCCATTGGTCTAGAGCTCAAGTATCAGGAGTATGCAGACCGGCAGTAGTAATACACAATAATTCATCAAAGAATAATTCATCAAAATCGCTGACGCAGTAGGACTTTTTAATCAAGGTTTAGCTGTGGACAGATATTCTAGGCCACCGTTATGCTCTTCTTATCTCACTACTAGATGATTCGCCAAGATCAATGGTTAAACCTGGGGCATTTTGAGGGGAGGAGAGAGGAGGTTTTCACGGCGTACTCTACGCAATCGCTGGCATCAGGCATCACCGAGGTGGATCTAACCTGACATTGAGAACGACGGGCACTTCGTAGCTTGATCATTAATCGCTACTCGCTCTCTGGATCACTTTGTCCGGGAAATGCCTCTGGTGATGGATTCAGATGAGGACTTTCCACTGTACCGAGAGCCGATATCATGCCCGAAGGTGGCTCGATCGGGACTACAGAAGCCGTCCGGGGTCCTTTCCCGGGATTCATACCCTTCCCATTCACCGTAACCATAAAAGTTCTGCATTGTTCAGGCAATCTAATGTACACCAGACCCAACGACTACGACAGAGTTTCTCAGCAGCCTGAGAATGGGGAGTCATCAATGCTTTCCCACGAAACCCGCGCGCAAGGGCGGCTACCGCCAGATCAACAAAGCCCTCAACATCAACGCCTTTGAAGACTACCTAGAAGCTCAAATATCCCGGCTACCCGCATTGGCAGACGTTGAGCAGCTCAGTCCACGCGTCTGGCGGATCTTGGGGCAGAATCCCGGGCCATTTACACTGCAAGGAACCAACACCTACCTGGTGGGCACCGGCCGCCGCCGCCTGCTGATCGACACAGGTCAGGGCATCCCCGAGTGGGCGAATCTGATCGCCGAGACCTTGAGAACCACCGGGGCTCGTCTTTCCAGCGTGTTGCTCACACACTGGCACGGGGACCACACGGGGGGCGTCCCCGACCTTTTGCGCCTGTATCCGGATGACCTTGTCGATGAATTCTACAAACACACGCCCGGCCAGGCCCTGCAACCCATCAGTGACGGACAGGTCTTCCAGGTTGAAGGAGCAACGGTCCGCGCCGTGCACGCTCCCGGCCACTCGCATGACCATACGTGCTTCATACTCGAGGAGGAGCATGCCATGGTCAGTATACTATTTCTCCGGTTGCACGGTTGTTTGCCCTTGAGCGCTAACGTTTTCCCCCCATCCCTGCCCGCGGAACGCGGGTGGGGGGGAGGAGGGGGGTCCTCATAGTTCACCGGCGACAACATTCTCGGTCATGGAACCGCCGCTGTTGAGGAGCTTGGGCCCTGGATGGCCTCGCTGCGCACGATGCAGAGCCACGGCTGCACCACGGGCTACCCGGCCCATGGGGCACCGATCCGTAACCTTCCGGGTAAGATCGCCGCTGAGCTCGCCTCCAAACTCCGGCGCGAAGACCAAGTGCTGGCCGCACTGGATCAGGTCGCCCGTGGCAGCGGCGGTCCCTGCAGTGTGACCGTGCAGCAGTTAGTGACAGTCATGCACGGGGACGGTCTCGATCCTGGCGTCCGGCAGACTGCCGTGGAGCCGTTTATGGAGGAGGTCTTGCGCAAGTTAGCGGCGGATGGCCGGGTCGCATTTCGATTGCGCCAGGGGGTCAAGAGGTGGTATGGAGTACCGGTGCACTGATGGTTGAAGGAAGTAGTTGAGGGGCTGGGCCACGCAATGAGTATTCTTTTTGGCAAGGAATAAAATAGATCGGAAGTCAAGAGTTCAAAATCTTTTCTAGCCGGGGCTACAAGGGAAGTCACTCTGTTGTGTGCTGTGATGAAGTACCATTAGGCTTAGGTTCTTCATTGTGTCCTTAGATCATCTTCTTTTAGGAGTCTGCGTGGATCTATCTCTACCAGTCACTGTTCTCTGATCTATATCTATCCCGCAAAGGGGGTCGCAGCACAACCCCCATTGAAAATATCGTTGACATTATAGCATGCGGATATCGGTCTAGATAGTAAGGGGTTTAAAATTCCATTGCCAGTCGTTTTCGGATCCACTGGCGGGCTGTGAGCGTGCCCCAGTTCCCACACATATTTGGCTTCCACTTACCCGGAGTCTCACAGCCCGGGGCGATCGCAATCACCTCATTCGGATTAGGCACCCCAAAGAAGACCAGAGAGTAGCGGTCAACCACCATTTTCTCCTCCTTTGTCTCCAACCCGTGGCTATCATCCCCCGGAACCCCTTGGATTGGCGGCAACATCAGGGGCGCAGGAGCGACTACGCGGTGCAGGGAACTTCGCCAGCGGCCGTTAGAGAGTTGCTCCAGCATATCGCCCACGTTGACGATAAGAGCCCCCGGAACCGGCATGATGGGACGGAATTGATGGCCATCGTGAACCTCCAACCCCCCAACTGCATCCTGGAAGACCAGCGTCAGGCTGCCGAAGTCGGTATGCGCGTTGAGTCGCTTGGCCCCGTCGACGTTGAGCGCCCGCGCCGACATCGCCGGGTAGTAGTTCCACGTCATGTGGCAGTCGTTGGCAGAGTGAATACGATTGAAGTAATCATCGTGATCATTCTGGTCCATTACTCTTGCTGCCGCTATCCCTACCGATTCCTTCGTCTCGTCCGGGCCGCCGCCGCTGCTACCACTGATGCGGAGCGCCTCCCCCAGGCATCGGTACAGGTCATGGGCCAGGATCGCGCAGTCGGTCCACCAACCCTCCAGGAACCCTCGAAAGCCCGGCAGTGTCCCCTCCGGCAGCCACGGGTTGGGCGGTAGCGTCGCGTCAAACGGATTGCCCAGCTCCAGCGTTTCCTTGCAGTCTGGGTTCTGCTGGCGGATGGCCGCCGCTTTGTCCGCGTCAAACTCCATATGCACCGTGTAGCCCAGCCCTACTCGCGCCCAGCCGCGGTTGGTGTCGACATCGCCGCTGGGCGGGTGTGCGATTAGTTCCTTGGTGGCAGTGGGTTGCATGAAAAACCGCTCGGCCTGCGCGTGGCTGTGGGGTTAGCCAGTTGGAGTCTTGTTTTCTTCGTGGTGGGGTTTTAATAGGAACATAGAGAGATTGACAGTGAGAGAGGAAAAGAAGACAGCGGCAGGAGATTGTAAGCAAGAACTTACCCACTGAAAGGCCTCGTGCAGCTTGTCAGCGCCTATCCCGTGGTTATGAAGCTGGACGAAACCCCATTCACGAAAGGCGGCGTCCAGCAAGGCTACGGCAACTCTCCGTCGGTTGGTGTCTGGCGAAGTGAGCGCGCGGAAGTCCACCAGGGGAACATCGGCCGGCTCGACATAGTGGCTGCCGTTCTGGAGAGCTTCTTGGGTCATCTTGTGGCGGTGGATTGCAGGCCAATCAGGCAATGATGGTGTCTGGGATATGATTCTCGACGTCGTTTGTCAGCACGGGGAGAGGTTGAGAAAGTTGGAAACGGTTTACAGAAGCAGTCAATTACTTGCACTGTAAGCAAGAAACTTGAAACGTTGTAGCTAGTCAAAGCGAGGATCGGGGGTTCTCCTGGCCTCCCCCTTGGTTTTTTTTATCTTTTACTCCAAGATCGGCCGGTTTGAACTATGAGCGATCTTTCAAGTATTGCCGAGGACAAAGCTCATAAACACATTGAACCAGCCCATTCACGTTGTCCGGGACTTGAGAGGTCTTTTCGCTGGTCTGATGGTATGACGGCGCTGCAGGGCCTTTACAGGCCTTGCTCGCTGATTATGATGAAGCGGAGTGCTCAATACTGAGTCGGACACAATCTATAGGAGTATGCTAATTGATGAAGGTCTTGTTCCCTCTTCACGTTAAGATAAAGTGAATTCCATAGATTCTTTAAGGCATTTGAGTATGTATACTAGGTGCGGTATCGATCCCAAGCCTCTCAAATTTCATCTTGTCGCCATTCACTTGCGGACGACATGACAAGATTTACTAATTCACTATTCCCGCCTCACAGAGTTCCTGGCCCACTCACTCTATTGTTGGGCAGTCAAGCTACAATAGACATGAAAAGTTAATCTTGAACTCTTCATCCTGCAGCTTTTCCCGTGCCCGTTGACCGATTCCCTGATGGCCGATTCCGGATGGCCGATTCCCGATGGCCGATCCCCGATGGCCGATCCCCGATGGCCGAGTTTAACCCCGCGAGGATCCGCTCTCGCTTGCACGGTCCTGGCTGATCGTCTCCGGCGGGGACCCTCTCCTCTCCTACTTATTTCGATTATACTCTATGACATTGCTTTGATGCAAGTATATACAATAATTTAGGGGTGAGGGACTGCTCGTAATGAGTGCTCCGCCAATCGGAGTCTCTTTGTAGCCCGGTCCTCTCGGTGTGAGAATAGATGCGGCCGACCAACAAATCAAGATCAGAAAAACAGATTATACATAGTGTAGAAGAATAGATACTTGAATGGGAAATGCAACGGGTCGGAATTCCGAAAAGTAAACAATAAAAAATACCAGGAAGAAGATGAAGCGAACCGACAAGAATAGAAATAGATTTGCACAGCAAGGTAGGATACAATCAAATATGTATTAGCCGTTAAAGAATAACGCAATCAATTATTGACATTTGGAAAAACGATCAAGTACCAGACAGGTAACAAGCTGGGGAAAGTAGGAAAATAACATGTGTCTCTGCAGCGTCTTACAACGAGAGTGGGATTGAACATCCGATATCTTAGGATGTTTAGGTGTTACTTTGGCTTCTTCGGCGGCTCGCAGCGCCTACCCTTCCCCCTTCCCCCTTCGCTGGGTCTTGCTGACCCGTCGCAGATCCGGGTCTCGGTCATCGCCCTCTGTCTCCCCACTGAGAATCTCTAGCTGACACCTGGCTGCGACACGGGTTCCGAAGCCAGACAGACTATGACCCCATCATTGCGATGGCCCCAATTATCGCCCCCAGCAAGGGTAACAAAGACCGCACCATATGCAGATTCCGCCAGTGACCGATTAAGGCCTGCGCAGGGCCAATTGCTATACCTGCCAGTTCCATCTGACTAGTGACAGCCTGCAATCGAAACAGCTCATGATTGCTGGGCGCCATAACCAGCCAAGTAAAGGGAGCTATAGCCACCGTCAGCACCCCGGCGAGGGCTAGCGCGCCCCACCGTCGGCTGGACCTTTGGTGGTGGCAAACCGCTGCGTAGATGTACAGCAGGCCGGTTAGGATGGCAGTGAAGGGGAGCACGACGTGACCATAGTGATACAGTCGGCTCCACTTGTGGAAAAGTTGCGGGGGGTGAGTAGTTGTGTCGAGGAGGACGGGGACAGCGATGAACGAGAGGGATAGCATGGCACCTGCGGCCCCCCACCCAAATTCAGTTTTCTTGCGTATCAGCTGTCGGCATCTTTCCTCTTCGAAGGGCTGGCTGGTTTTTTTCCGCCCCCCTCCCCCTTCCCCCACCTCCTCCCTGGGCTGACAGGAGCTAGGAGATGGTGTTGGGCGGTGGGGGAAGAGAAAATGCACTTACCGGCGAGAATCGAGCCTGTCATCACCGCGGCTACGTGCGGGTTGAAGGAGCTCCTCCGCCTCCTCCTCAGGGCCGGTGCGACCATAGGATGGGGCATAGTGCTGTGCTTCACCACCTGCCCATCACGCACGATCTCCGTCACCCACCCGATGGTCATCATGCTGCGCCGCGTGTCGGCGAACTTCTCATGATCCCCGACCAGATGCTCCCGGTACCAGGGATCCTCTTTCAGCCGCTTGTAGTCCGCCAGGTCGTGAAGCACCACCTGGCTGAAGCAATCGAAGTCGGCGATGTTGGCCATCTGCGGATCGATCAGTTGATCCATGAGCGCCCGACTTTCGGTGGTATTGTGGATCTAGTTTCGCGTTGGCGATGTCTCTCGGAGGCATACTAGACTCGCATGTTGAATGTCACGACTCACCATCGTCCAGCGCTTCACTCCGTACTTGACCATCAGATCTGCGGTCATTGGAGCGGAGACCTGCGTCATATGCTGGCGGTAGTCGAACTCGCTCATTCCCGGGCGTCGGTAGCCGCAGATCGTGAGGCAGAGGGAGTGGGAGGTGCTGTTATCCGCCGGGCGTGGCGAAATCGGGAGACTCATAGTGGTGATCGGATGTGGCCTGAATGGAAAAGAGGTACGTTGTTTAGAGGAAAGGCAGAGGTGGAAGGGTCCGAGGGGAAGAAATGGACGGACTTGGAGGGCCACAGAGCCGGGGAACTGACGACTTATAAGGGCTGAAGAATCGGCTACTGCCGAATACCGCCCATCTCCAATGGGGGTGACGATAAGGTCGTCATGATCGGGTAAGGGATGCTGCTCGGTCGTGTTGCGGGAGGGAAGTCACCGATTGTGCTGTTCATGCTCTAGCAACTACGACAACGCGAGCATGAGAGAGGGAAGAAAATCACTGGTTGTGTCAGCAATTAAAACACATGGTCTACAGAAAGCTATTCCGATGACTGGTTGAATTTACGAGCCCAGCATACTTGAGCACGAGTCCGCGACCATCAGAAGGGAGATTTAGGAAAAATCGTGTAAGCTCTACGCTTCGAAACCGTGTGCCATAGAATGTACTGTAATCCTAACAACGACGGGCTCAGAATCAACATCAAGTGTATTCCTCCAGCCAGAACCGTAAGTCTCCAATGGTAGGATACTCCAAGAACAGACTTCCCGACACCACCACGCGCAGCTGCTCCCGGAATTTTTCCGCAATCACCAGACTCATGAGCGAGTCGATGCCGAGGCCCGCGAAATCGCATTCGTCAGTCAGCTCGGCCCGATCGAGACCTGCTTCCGCGGCGATGATTTCCAAGGCGCGGGCAGTGATGGTGTCCGGGTATGTGGCTACGGTCGGCGGGGATTCGACGGGGCTGTCGACTAGGGGCGGAGTGGGCAGCGGAGCGCGAGCAGCGACAAAGGCCGGTGGAGCGGAAGGCTGGGCCGTGCTGAGTGCGGTAGGCCCGGCCGCCGACGGTGCTTCGTGATCGTCCGGGGCTGAGAAGAAGCGGCCTAGCAGAATCCGTGGGTACCGGCGGAATTGGATGCCGCCCACCATGCCCATGATCATCCCTTCCTGCAACACATAGACGTCACCCAGATAGATGGAGGGATCGTCGTCAGTAGGGATCATCTTCACGTACGACCGATACTGGTTTCCGGCAACCAGCGGCCGTGCGAACCGCATTGACTGCCAGCCAGGCGTCACGCAGAAGTGGTTCTTGGTATCGATGGCATCAGAGGTATTCATCACAAACCCAGCGAGGTGAGCAACGCTGTCAATAAAGTGTGGAGGCACTGTCCAACTGCCACCCTGCTCGCGCGAGAGGGTCACATCCGCGTACGCTTCTAGTTCGTGCAAAACAACCGCCTGCATTCCGCGATACTTGGATGCATAATCGACGAGGTTGTTGGCAAACAGCTGATATGCCATCTTATGGCTGAATCGTGTCGCAACGCCCTCACGGGCCAGCTGATCCAGCTGCCCGATGCGCCCCTGCACCAGATGAGCCAGGGGCGCCCACGAAGCGCGCCAGTCGTCCGCTTGGCCATAGATGAGGTTCGCGCTGGCGAAGGGCTCCTCCACGGACCCATTCGCCTGCACATTGTGCCACCGCAGCTGCGCCGTCTGACCGCCGGTCGTCGACACCGCCACTTGAATGATTTGCGGTTTGTCGGGGTTGTTATTGGCGACAAGTCCTTTGAGAACCTCGAGATTGGCGATATTCAGGGCCGGCTGGGGCTGGTACGGGTGTAGCTTCCTGTACAGGTATCCGCCCAGGGTGTAGGCAATGTCGGCGTGAATGGACTAAGCAGTGTGGGAATTTATGAGGTTAGTGAGAAGAGTCAGAGATTGGTAGGAGTAAGAAGCGATGGAAGAACCAACCGAAGTCACCACACCACAATTGTTCATCTTGTGCCCCCAAGCCGCCGCCCGAAAATCGGCCTGCATCAGATCGGCCTGCATCACCACTTTGCCCGCAGCGCCATCGAAGTGCTCCTCCACAATCCGCTGCACGACCGATGTGCGGAGGCTTGAGAGGATTTCTCCTCGAGTAGCCCCTTGCTTGGTCTCGTAGAAGGTGTTGCCTTTGGTCAGGGCCCAGTTCCCTTTGTACGGGATCCAGTAGGTCTTGTCGTTCCAGGCGTATGTGGGCAGGTCTAACAGTCGCAGAGCCGGCTCAAACGGCCGATGAAATTCATTCCAGGTAATGGGTACCCCTGCGCAGTGCAGCGTGGCCAGAGTCCGTGTGAGGGTTGTCCAATTGTTCTCGCCTCGTCGTAACGAGGCCGCTGTGATAGGGGCCCCGGTTACAGTGGCCGAAGACGAGGCTATGGTTGCTCGGATAAAGCCTGTGCAGACTGGGTGCGGACCAATCTCGATCCAAATAGTCTCGTCGTCAATGGTGCTCATCTCGTACGCGGTCTCGATGGCGGATCGAAAGTTCACCGTCTCACGGGTCGCGCGCCGCATATACTGGGCACCAAGGGACCGGTCATCGAAGATGACTTTATTGAGGAGAGGGGAGATTACGGGGATCTGTGGGGGCTGGAAGAGCACGCCATGAGTAACGAGCAACTCGAAGTCTTCGAGAATGGGATCGACCTGAGCCGAGTGAAAGGCAAATGCGACATCCAGACTGACACACTTGCAGTGTGCCTGCTCCAGGATTGGAATTAGACTATCCATCTCGGTGACGGTGCCACTGATCACAGTGTCCTGAGGTCCGTTGATGCACGCAATCTCATACGGACGATCACCAGCGGTCTGCTGTATCTTCTCTACCGAGGCGCGCACTGCCACCATCTTATGGCTGCCTACTTGGCACCGCTGTTCGAGTAACCGAGCGCGATGACCCACGAGGAAGATCGTATCGGCTGCAGATAGAACCCCTGCGACTTGCAGTGCGGCGTACTCACCTAGACTGTGGCCGATCACCACATCCGGCCGCACGCCCAAGGTCGCCCAGTAGCGGGCGAGCGCAATCTGCACGCAGACTAGCGCAAGATGCGTGGCGACCGGCGAGTGCAGGTGAGTGGAGGGATAACTGCCGTCGACGACGGAGAGGAAGGATGGAAATCCCTGGTCCTGAGCAATAACATTGAGTTGCCGGATCTGGGAGTGAAAGTAAGGTGCTTGATGGTATAGCTCAAGATGATAGGAGCGGAATGAAGCCCCCTGCCCGGTGAAGGCAAAGGCAATAGGGGGTGGCTCCGTTAGAGAGACTGGTTTATGTTCGTCGAGGCTGACCAGTGCTGATTCCAGTTGCTTCCGTACCTGTGCAAGGTCCGCTGCCACCACAGCCACGCGGTGATTGTGATGATAGCGACGAGCGGTAGTCGTATAGGCGAGATCGCTTAGAAGCAAGTTAGGATTTTGCTCGAGGAAGGTAAGTAATTGCTCAATGTTTCTCCGCAAGGACCCCTTGCTCTTCGCTCCCACAGTTATAGCATGCATCGAGCGCTCATCGCTGCCTATTCTTGTGCGAATCGGCCCATCCTCGATGACCACTGTTGTATTGCCTCCAGCCGCGCTGAAGTTGTTGACAGCTGCTAAGCGCTTCCTCCCTGCCACACGCGGCCATTCGACCTTCGTATACGGAATATGGACGTTGCGTGTCTCGAGATCCCGAGGGAACTTGGGGTTCAGTACATTCTTAATCCCGATATGGGGAGGGATTAAATTCTTTTGCATCATGAGGAGGACTTTAAGCAGCGCAGTCACTCCGGCTGCGGCCTCACTGTGGCCCACGTTGGCCTTCACAGCTCCAATATAAAGTGGATTATTTGAACTGCGGCGCCTTGATATGGGTGCAAAGACATTGGTCACTGACTGGATCTCTTCCAGATCACCGGCCTGTGTTCCTGTGCCATGCATCTCCACATAACTGATATCGAGAGGATCTATACCGGCCCGGTCGAGTACTAAATGACTCAGATCGGCCTGGTGGCCAGCATGCGGGTGCGTAATGGAGACCGCCTCGGCAGAGTGGTTTGTGCCTGCAGCTGCAATCACACCGAGAATATTGTCGTTATCGGCCTCAGCATCCTCCAAGCGTTTAAGCACGATCGAGGCTACCGCATCTGCTCGACAATATCCGTCCGCCTCGCTGTCCCATGTCTTGCACGCATTGGCGCCCTTTGAGAGGAAATGACCGTTGCTGAGACCCGCAAATGCATCTGAATTTGTCAGGATGTTCATTCCTCCGGCCACGATCATGTCGGTCTCCCCGCTCCACAAGGAGGTACAGGCAGCCTGGATTACGGATTCAATTCTCTGCCAGTTAGAGCAACTCAACTAATAGCCGGGAATCTCAGAGTCAGGGGGAGGGCAAGAGCCACTGTGCAACGTACCTGGATCGTTGCCAAGCTTGAGGAGCAGGCAGTATCGATACTGTAGCTAGGGCCCGCGAACTTGAAGAAATAATTGATTCGCCCCGGGCCGAATGCTCGACAACCACCTGGGATGAAGTACGTACTGATTTCCTGGGCGGTATTCACTTCGCGATAGTCATCACTCGCTTGGCCATAGAAGGTCCCGATTCGAGACAATCGAGTAGAGAATGTACGATTAGCCATATATCCAGCTCGCTCCAATGCCTCGTACGCAGTAACAAGGGCTAGCCGCTGCATAGGGTCCGTCTGCTCCGCCTCCCGCGGCGACATATTAAAGAACGGGGCATCGAATAAGCCTGGTTCATCAATGAAGCATCCATAGGGGGTCCAGCTGCAGTTGAGCCGCTTTCGATCCACGTCAAAGTGGCTCTCGACGTTGAAGCGATCCGCGGGTATCTTGCGGTGGACATCCAAGCCGCTCTCAAGCAGCTCCCAGAACCTCTCGGTATTAATGGCCCCACCGGGCAGTCGGCAGGCCATGCCCACAATGGCAATCTTCGATTGCTGGGGTCCTCGAGGGAGGAGATCGTCTGCCGGGGTCTGGGCCTCGTACAGCCAAGGAATGATTTCATCAGTCGAGATTTCTACGGCAGGGTTAATAGTTTGCAGGGCCGCGGCGAGGTCATGGCTAGCAAGAGAGTTTCGGAAGACGAGCAGATGACAGTGCTCGGCGTTTATGCCCTGGGCCTGCTGCACGACCCCTTGAACGACTGTCGCCCACTCAATCCGCCGCGTGAGAATCTCGCGAACGATTTGCTCCAACAACTCCGTCGCATCTTGACCCGTGAACGGGCGCCCGTCGCAGGTGGAGAGAATAGCGAGACACGGCACACTCCTTCCGTGATGACCGGATATTGATGGGGTGCGCACCACGCGACGGACGTGCTCGTCGTTATAGATGTGACCTGCATGGCAGAGGCCACCATAAACCGGGAGCGGTACGAATTTGCGGTTGCTAAAGACGTACGCTGTGCGGAAAAGCTCCTTCAACCGGGCGGGCGGCCCACTGACTGTCGCCGAGGATACGCTGGCCGCGCTGATGAAGACGCGACTAGCCTCCGGAGTTTGCTTCTGGAGTACATCCAGATCCTGCTGGATCTCCTCGGCCGTTACCCCTGGTATCACGTAGGCCCAGGGATCAGGCGTCGCACTCGGGGTCGTTGTCTCCCGCGGCTGCAAGTTCTGTGAGACCTCGTCGACCACGATCCCAAGTCGGAAGGCTTGGCGGACCACTTCTGCGGCGGACGAGGGCAGATCTGCCACCGTAGCCGCGAGAGATAGAGCTGCTGTCGCGAGAAGGCCCATCCCAAGCCCCGTCAAGACGGTGCTGGTGCTGTCCGAAGGGAAGGTTTCTGGATGTTGCTCATAATATCTGGTCTATCAGTTCGAGGTCTCCATCACGATTCATATTTTGTACGTACCCAATAATGGTTCCTAACTGGACGGTGTAAAGAAGCAGGCCCTCCACCGAACCCCCCAGTGGTCCGTGGCGGAGGTCGGTGAAGCTGGCCAAGTTGAGAATGGATTCAAAGGGGGGCACCAGCTGATTTAGGCTGCTTGGGAGCCCCCGTATTTCTTCTCGCAGCGCACGGGTGGCTTCCTCTAGGAAGCGCGCAAGGAGTGGGTATCTTCGATCCTTGCTGCGGCAATGCAGGGCACGGAATAAGGTGCACAATCCATCCTTGGGGAACTCATTGGAGAAGTGGAGGACTCGCAACTGAACAGGCTCTCTGCTGCCGTCGTCTTCAGAGCGAGAGGGAGTGTAAATTGCCATGATGGCTTGTACACAGGAATTAAGTCACTGTGTCTGTGAGCTGCCAATATGGCGTGTGAAACAGCTTGATATAACCAGCCCCTACGAAAATATGTCCGTTATAGCCCATTCCCGAGAGACGAGCCATGGAGTCAATTGATACCGTAGCATTGAACCCCTGACCCGTGGCTCAGAGCTGTCGCGGGCCTCTCTCCTAGAGCGTACAGACCCCGGCGGTGGTCATCTCCATTCCGCGTATTTTTGTTTAAAAAAAAGCTTGATTGGGACACCGGCTGTCGGGCTATTGCGATCCCCGGTATATGCTCGGCCTTGCCCTCTGCTCTCTCGGGGATTCGCTCGACTGACTCTGTGGAAGTAGAATCCTGGGCCAAGTGCTTCTATCGACTCATCACTGCGAACTCCGGCTTGTGCCAAAGCACATTGCTTAATCTCTTCCTCGGATCATCAGCTACGATGGTGACTCCGAATAGAGACCCTCCTCTTCATAGAGTGTCTGGCCTTTAGGCGCGGACAATAGAGTCATTGATTCTGGCTACGTTGCCTGTAACTAGTGTCTTCCACCCTTCCCGGCCACGAATATTGCACACCTTAGGTAATACGAGAGACTTATGGAAGTTTCAAAGATATATGTATACATAGACCAAGATAAAAATAGAATTTGAAATAAAATAAAAAAAAAGAGAAATAGGAGAAAAAGCATTTCAATCTGTTTTAGAATAGCGGCATGGCATATCACACCTCGTTCAAGTGCTCGGTCATAGTTAAGAAGATAATGACTGTATCTCAGGATGTTTTGAAATATATCTCGAAGGTTTGGTCAGGAGTGTAAAAGTGATGGGCCAGAGAGATCACAACCGGACCGAACGGTTAAGCCTGATTCGGGTGTCTTTTTCTTACCGGCAATAGAGTATATGCTATAACGGAAGAATGGCAAATCGGCATTGGAAATAACAGTGTTTCTGAAAAATAAGAAAAAAAAAAATAAAAGAAAAAACAGAAAACAATGTGAAAGCTACGCAACCAATACCTATCCTCCTTAGAGCTTCCTTCCAATCAACAAGCGCATTCATCACTCTGCGGCTCCCCAAGTTTCTCTTCACCCTCGAAGAAGATCCGGTCATGGTCATATTCTGACCAGCGGATGCCCGGCTCGATGCCAGCAAACCGCCATTGCCCCTCCACCCTGCGATACCAGATGGTGGCATGCCCGTGGGCGTGGCCCTTAAGGGCGACTTCGCTCAGCGCATCGTCGGCGTATTTCTGATGAGCGACGCGCATCTGATGTTGGCCAGTGATCTCATCCTCGCTGGTTTGGAGCCACTTAGACGCCCCGCCGACGAAATGCTGCGTCTTCAGGCGACGGTTGCCCAGGAACTTGAGATCGGACGCCATGAGCAGGAACTCAGGCGCAGGCATTTCTTCCCAGAGCTTGTTCAAGAAAGCACGGTAATCGATCTTATGAAAACAGGTGGGGACGAGTTTAGCAGGCGCAGAAACCTTGGAGGTCGAGTTCCATTCTTCTGGGAGGGAGCATACCCGGAGCGTGGGAGCAATGCACTGGGCGAGACGATCCCAGTCTTTAGTGTCATAACTCTCCGCCCATTCATAAAGGGCTGCCTGACAACCAAGGACATCTGCCGCATGAACGCGTCAATAGCTTGGGACTCTTGCGGGTGGGAGAAGGGGATGTGGGGCTCAACCTTCGAAACAAGGAGCGGTAGGTTTCGCCATTGTTGATGAGACATATGCGTATTGGTCTGTTTTCGAGCGGAATAGGGAAATAAGGCCGTGGACACAGGAAACTACGCAAACTGAAACCTTATTTAAAAGCACTGTGGTACTCCGTAGTTTGCGAGTTCTCCCTTGCCGGGCAACGCGTGGTTGACCGAACTCCGTGTCGGAATTCCGAGATTAGGGCTGGCCTCTGGCGCGAGCAGAGAGATAAGACACCCCTCCCTCCTGTGGTGGATTCGGTAGTGCCGTCTGGGAATTCCATTGAAGAGTACTCTTGAATTTTTTTGGGCTCGAAGTCCCTAAAGCCTCAAGTATGTCTACCTATGCTATCATTGGTTCTACCGGTAACTGTGGCACCGCCCTTCTCGACGTCCTATCGCGGGATTCCACGGTAACGATCCGCGCGTATTGTCGCAGCCGGGCTAAACTCTTGGCCTTGTCTCCTGCTGCTGTCGACAATAAGAGTGTCCAGATCTTCGAGGGGGGTATTGACGACATCAACCTCCTGGCGCAGTGCGTGCAGGGAACGAAGGCCGTCTTCCATGTTGTGAGCACCAATACGAATATCCCCGGCTGTAATGTTGGCCTGCAGACGGCCCAGACCCTCATTGCAGCTCTGAAGCAACTTCGAACGGCGGACGGCGGCGTGAACTCGCTACCGAAGGTGGTGTTGCTGTCATCAGCCACCATTGATGATCACCTTTCGGAAAGGATGCCGTGGTTTGTAAGGGCGTTCTTGTTGACCGCCTCCAAGCATGTTTATGATGACCTAAAACGGACTGAGACATTTCTACGCTCCGAGCAGGACCTCGTCACCACGATTTTCATCAAACCGGGGGGCTTGTCCGTGGACAAGCAGCGAGGTCATCGGCTGGACCTCCACCACGAGGAGTCCTTCATCTCGTACCTGGACCTGGCGGCGGCCATGGTCGAAGCGGCGGACGACCCCGAGGGCCAGTATGATATGAAGAATGTCGGGGTGGTGAATACAAATGGTAGCGCCCGTTTCCCCCCCGGTACAATCGGCTGTCTCTTGACGGGTGTGCTGCGGTATTACTTTCCCATGTTGCACCCTTATTTGCCCTTTCCCGGTCCCCGTTAGACTTCACCCTGAGTCTCCAGAAGTGGCATCTGTGCATGAATGTGTATTTCTCAGGGTTGCAGCATCCAGAGCCAAACGGTCTGTGTCGGCGCAGCTGAATAATCTGGCCACGTGATCCCAGGCAATGTACCAGGCGGGTTGCCTATCTCGAGAACTCAGCTAGTTCAACCAACCACCCAACCAAGGAACCAAGAAATCACTGGGAACACGTATCCAGAACGCCCTGCTTTCATCATATTTCTTACATTCTGCATATACTAGCTAGCGCGGCGAGGTGGTGGATATGTGTGGGAGAGAGTATGATGCTTAGAAATGGTCCCAAAGTATCACTTGTTTATCTCATTTAGAATATTGTCTATTTTCATGCAATGACACATTTGCTAGCTAAACACACATCGATAGACTGATATCACCCGATCCAAGATCAATGTTTCTGTTTGGCAAGTAGCTTGCAAAATCTGATTGTCCAGGGTGAAGGGGTTCATGTGACTACGAAATCGGCATAATGAATGAGATAGGTTCTATGCATTTGCTTACGAACCTCGACCGCGGGTTCACTAGTAGTGATATACCTAGGACAATGACAAGTAAGTTTATCAGGGTACGGATTGCCCCTGCTGGCCCCTATTCTCAGCCAACTTCAGATCCGGCCGTTCCCAGGCCTCATCAAAGCCCGTGCCCATGATCCACTTGAAGTCCGGAGGTGAATGGCGGGTGGTCTCCAGGGCCATGCGGGCCAGCTTGATCCACATGTTCCCCTTCACAGGGAAGTGCTCCGCCCACACCGGATGCTGCTCGTAGGGCCGGCTCAACCGTTCGGCGTGACGCAGGGCGCGCATGAACTTGGCGACATGCCCGTCGTCATGCTCTTGGTTCACCGCAGCGTACAAGGCCGCCCAGTCCATATCACGGGTAAAATCATCGGAGTAGTCGGAGATTGCGCAGGCATCTAACTCCGGGGACTTGCAGAAGGCGTAGAAAGCCAGGTCCAGCCGACCCTTCCACTCAACCAGGCGAACCCGCATAGCTCGCGGAATCCACTCCTGGGCATTATAGACGCTAAAGAAGAGCGACGCGGTCACCGTGTGCATCAGAAAGAAGTCGATCTTGCGGGGGCGCCGCGCCGACTGGCTCGCCCCGGCCAGGTAAGCGGCAGTGCTGGCCATCTCAGCCGTACGTATTGTTAGTAGGTCTGCATGCTCCCCGGCCATCATCATCATCCCCGACGCCGGAATGCGGAACTGCGCCGCGATAGGGATCAGCTCGTCCGCCGCCCGGTCCATGATGCTGTCACGCATGCGATTCCACCGGTCACCGAAGCGCAAGTCCGCCCAAATGCGGGGATGGCTGCGCACTTTGTCAACGAGCTGCACAAGTGACTTGGGTACCGTCGTCTCTGTCCGGGTGTCGTCCTTGGCAGCGATCGCCGCCTCGACCCCGAGCAGAAGTTTGTCAATGTGTCCGTCTTCGTGGGCAGCGGCCTGGGCCAGCGCCTCGGCGATGATGCCCGGTTGGCCGAACTCGATTCCCAGCCCCAGGTGGATGAGAGAGTGGTACATCCCCTCGTACAGCTTGATCAGGAGCTTCTCCGCCAGCGGCGTCTCGGAGAAGACGTACGTGGTGACCACGGATTGCCACCCGTGGCGGTCAATCTGGGATTGAAAGTAGGTGAGAAAGGTGCTGTACAAGTCGGACCAACCCAGCAGGGACTCCAGGGCCTGCGGGTCCGCGTCTAGCCGAGTGAGGATCATCGGGTCTACCGCGGGAATCGGGCGTTGAATGGCCTCGGTGTCGGTGTAGGCGCGCTCGAGCTCCGAGGGAGAAGCACCAAGAGCCAACGCGGTCAGAATACTATGGGCCATGTGGTTGTGGCCCGTCGCCTCCCGGAAGAAAATGTGCCATGTGTCGTGGTTGGACTGAAGCAGCTCGCTGGCACGCGACAGGGACTCGGCGGACACGGGAGGTCGCGAGGCTCCATCTGGATGGCCGAGGCTGTCAACGACGTGCTGCGCAGACAGGCCAATGTGAGCAGTCATGATGAGGGACAGATGAAGATCATAGGAGAATACATGCTAAAAAGGAAATGCTTTCCTTCCACGAGAATTATGTATTGAATCTACGGTATCAATCAACGTGTGGACTCGGAGAAGCGCCCAGAGTCGGAGATCCGGGACTCGGGGCTGGCTCTCAGGGACCTTTTCACGCTACCCAAACACCATGCCCCCATTCCCCTGAATCACCTCGCCGTTTATCCATCGTCCTGCATCGCTGGCCAAGAATGCCACAATCTGCGCAATGTCATCGGGTGTGGCGAGCCGTTTGGCGGCACTCGGTAGTTGGGCAAGTTCGGCCAGCACCTCGGGCGGGTCATGGCGGTGATAGTTCGTCATCGTGGGCCCGATCGCAACCACGTTGCTGGTCAGTCTGTGGGTACACGCTAGCTCCATGGCCCAGTACCGAGAAAGACACTCCAAGGCAGCCTTGGACGCAGCCCAGACGGCGAATGGCACATCGGGTCGCTGCGAGAGCACCGAGGAACTGACATCATTGGAGGTGGTCAGCCAAATGTCAACTGCCCTGCACAACCACCTGGCAGCCGCTCTTTTGACCTACATGCTAACAATTCGACCCCCGGATGGCGGCAGTCTGGGCACCAGGGCAGTTACCAGCTCGAGCGGGGCTCGGGCATTCACTCGCATGAATCTAATCGTGTCCCGTGGTCAGCGCGAATCTGGAAGACATCTATCAAACAAATGATGAGAGACAGGGCACACCGGTCGAAGAGGGAGGGATCGCTCTCAGCGACCGGGGTCGGAGTGGGCGGATCAAGAGCTGCGTTGTTGATGAGGATGTCAATGGTTGTGACGTCGAGGCCCATTAGGGCTTGGGAAATTATGCGCTGGCCGGCCCCGTCCGCAGCGAGATCTTCCTGGATGCAGATCGTCCGCACCCCGATAGCACGCAGGTCCTCCGCGAGAGCTGCCGCATTCGCTCGCTGACTATCGGAGACAAAACAGAGGGCTACATTGGCCCCACGGGTGGCCAGCACGCGGGCGATCTGCGCCCCAATGCCGCGCGATGCTCCTGTCACCACGGCATTCTTACGCAGGAGGCTGGTGGCGTCGACGCTGGATGCACCGGCGTCAAGGTTACTACAGCACTGAGGGGTGACGATAAAGAAAGGGTGCAGTACGAACTAGAGATTGGAAGGAGACGCCATCAGCGGCGATCGGCTGGCTTTTGTCTGGGTCTCGCGGAACGTGGCCGCGCAGGTCGAGACGGAAAAAGGACAGTTACTAGATCACTGGGCGGAGGCATTCAGATGTATTTATACGCGTTGACTATTATCAAACTGATTCCCTGCGTTCGTATTCAACGCGTCAATTAAGCGATAACATCCCCTAGATTACTGCCCGGGAAATCAGAAAGCATAGCGACACCGCACCCTGTTTCCGGCGTTGCCGCACCAGCGAGGATCTAAACGCGCTGCACAATGTCTGCACAGCTCGGTCCCGGGCCTTCTTCAATAATGAGCCGGAGTATGCGCTCGAAGATCTTGAGAAACTGACAGGTTGCCTCGGGTTCCAGGATGGACAAGGCCCCAACATGTAGTGTCGTGCCGGTAGCGGACTCCGGCTCGACTATGGTTAACTCGAGTGCGGCGAATGGCCAGACCATGGCGAAGCCCGCGCTGTCCTGAACAACGCCCTGAAAAGCAGGCACGGGCACAGTCGAGTCTTTGGGGCTGCTGCTCACGATGTGATTCAGCAGCACGTTTCCCCAGCGGCGCTGGCGCGGCACTCCAGGTTTGGGATCGGGTGGGGCGAGCGCTGCGTCGAGGTAGTATGGATCCTCATCCTGGATCGCCAGCCAGGCTCGCAGCGCCCCCTGGATGGTCGCTAGCACACTGCTATGGGCCCCCACCGCGACACGCATCGGGCTGATGGAAATCAAGGCCCCTTCCATGGCTTGCGCGCCCTCCAGGGTGGTCCGGTTTGCGCTGAGCCTGTAATATATGACCTCGGCGCGCGGTGGCGCGTGCGGCCGCCACCAGCCCAGCGTTCGCGCGATCGTCAGTGCTGTCACTGCGTGAAAGAGCGCCGCTGGGGTGAGGTGGTGCGCCCGGCACCAGGCGCCATAGGCGACTCCGATCAGCGTCGTCGCTTGGGGCTGAGCGGGCAGCTCCGCGTCCGGCAAGCGGCGGTCGTCGGGGATCGGGGTGGCGATGGCGCCCTCCAGGAAGGATTCCCAGGCTCGTTGGCCATGAAGCACACTCGACGGTACAGGAGCCTCGTCGAGCCCGTTAGCCCCATAATGATCCACCACCCAGGCTTCGATGGACGGTTTGGCCGCACGGGAATGCGCGAGACACAGGGCCGCTGATGCAGCTGGGTCGCCCTCGTCCCGCTTTACGATGGCTGTCAGGAGAGCGTGCAGATCCTGGGACAGGTTTTGGGAGATGGACTCATCCACAATGGAATGGTGGATGGTCCAGGCAAGCAAGCGAGGCTTGCTGAGAAACGCCGCGCGCCATAACGGGCGCCCAAAGACCCATGGCCGTGTCACATCCTCGCGTCGATATGTCGTCGGCTCTTGGCTCTCATCATCCTGCGTAAGCTCGAAATCGACCACGATCGGCTTCAAGATAGCCTGGACAACTTGCCCGCCGCGAATGAGATTGAACGTATCATCGGGAGTCTTCACCGTCTGCAGATTTGTGGGCCCGTCCAGCGATACGAACACCGTCCGTAGATTAGCCTTGGCTGCCACCACCTGGCCGACTGCTTCCTGAATTTGCGAGAAGCTACACGGGAACTTTGAAAGGTCGAGGAACTGGTAAAACATCCAGAGTCGGGGGTCATAGAGACTCGTTGCGAACATCTCCCGTTGGAGCAAGGTCACTGGGAACACGGCTTCATAATCCGACGGTTCATGCCTCAACCCAACGGGGAGCCGTGGGACGAGAACCTTGGTAACAGATTGTAGAGATCTCCCTGCCTTCTGGTGGTCGACAGTATCCTCTCCAACCATCGCGGGGATAGTCGAGGCGATGGTGCTCAGGCTCTTCGGGGTGAATAGCTCCTCAATGTTGATGCTCAACCCGTGACTGCGACACCGCGCCCGAGTTTGAAGTGCCAATAACGAGGTCCCTCCGTTTGCAATGAACGACAGAGATTCCATCTGGTCGCGGACCTGCGCGGTAGGACGATCGGGATTTTCGCCCGTCAATACCTCAAGGACCAGGGCTAGAAACAGGAGGCCGCCGGGGGAGAGGCTGTTTCCCGGTGCCTCTTTCACGGCAACCCCCGCCCGACTGGTTTCTGCTTCTTGGTTGATGCGTGCTTGCGCAAGCAGAAGAAGTGCCTTCGTGTCCGTCTTGGCCGATGGCGTTTCGGGAAATGTGTCAAACTGCAGCCATCGATGGGGCCTCATGTATGCAGGCAATTGGGCGCTGCACGCGTGGTCCGCTGCCACCACGAATTCCTGCCACCCAGCAGTGGCCGATCCTCCCTGCTCCCCATCGCTGCCAGCGCTCCGCTGCAGCATCACACAACAAACTGAAATCGGCCTGCCCGCCGCGGACTGGGCAAGCATGACTCGGCTTTTCATCACATGCGGCACTTGGTTGACGATGGCCTCGACCTCCTCCGGCTGGATCCGGTATCCATTAATCTTAAACTGAAAATCGACTCGACCGAGGAGAATAAAGGTACCAGCCGCGATGAACATGCCGAGGTCCCCGGTTCGATATATCCAGGCGTGCCCCGCATCGCCGGGGAAGGGATGAGGCTGAAACACCTGCCTTGTCGCTTCGGAACGCCCAATATACCCGGCACTCATGTAGGTCGAGCTGAGGCAAATTTCTCCAGGAACGTATAACGGACAAAGTCTGGCCGTGCCGGGTTGTAGCATGTATAGTGAATAGTCAGACGTGGGAAGGGGATGGCCAGGCGGGAGACACCCTGTGCTGCAGCAAGTCTCAGCGCGTGGGTCTTTGTGTGCGAAGATGTCGCCGGTAAGAGAACGGATGTGGAGTACTTACGAATCGTCATGAAATGGCAGCGCATGGGAGTTCATCTCCGTAGCTCCGTAGCCGATCAACAACGAGACATGCCGACTCCATGTCTGGGCCAGGGTCGGCGGCACCGCTTCGCCGACTAAAGAAATGGTTTTCAGGGACGGCACAGCATCAGGGGTGGTGAGCGCGATAGCTGAGGGCGTGATACACACGTCCTCAATGCCATACCGGGCCACACAGCCGGCTAAATCCGTCGTGATCTCCTCCAAGGGAGGTATGCAGACACAGCCGCCGTTACTGAGGAAGCTCCAGATTGGCGTCCCCGAGGCGGAAGAGATTGGATTGAAAAAGAGTAGTGTTTTGGACGCCCGAATCCGACCGGCGTAGCTGGCAATGGAGGCCCCAAAAGCAGCATGACTATGCAGACAGCATTTGGGCCTTCCCGTGGAGCCCGATGTGACGCGAATCCATGCGGGTTGGAACAGATCCTGCGAGAGATCAACCTCGGATCCTGCATAGTTCTCTGGGGGTACGGGACATGCGTTCGCTCGCCGGCGCAGCTGCCCAAAGTCATACTGCCAGGCAATGTCCGGAGCCAGTTCGCCGGTCCAGGAATTGTCCACCACCACTAGAGCGCAGTCGCAGTCTTCCAGTATGTGGGCATTTCGGGGAACAGGTTGGCTCGGGTCGACCAGGACGATGGCACAGCGAGCCTTCCAGCATGCCAGGATCGTGATGATCACTGCGGGGGATCGCTGCAACATGATGCCGATGACCAGGCCTTCTTCTGTCGCTAGACCCGTTGCCAGGGGCCGGGCTGGGACAGCCATCAGCCGTTGGGTCAAGTCAGCAGCCATCAGGTCCGTCATCTGATCTAACATCCAGTAAGAGATGATCTCGCTATCCCGGCCCTCGATAGCCGGGGAAGATGGGGTTTTTCGGGCCTGGCGGCGGACGAGTTGGTGTACCGGTCCTACTGTCATTTCGGTTACGCTTCGCCCCGGAAGACTGTGCCGGCGCAACTGCAGCTCTTCATGCAGAGAGGCCATGGAGATGTCGCGGAGTAAGAGAGTGGTCCAGCTGCGGTGGTGTACGATGTGGCGTAAGAGGTGCAAGCCGTGGTCGATTAGCTTTTTGGTATAATGCGCCGAGAGCCAGCGTGGGTAGTGGCAAATCGCCTGGATTGTTCTGTGACGTTGGGAAAAGAGCTGGATGGTCAACCCCGAGGGCATTTCGGGGGGACCGGGCAATTCAGCCACTGGGCATGAATACAACACCGCCACACAATGTGGTGGACCCTTGACGGATGGATCCTCATCCGTGTTGATGTTCAACCCAGATTGGAGCAAGTCCAGGAATGAAGAGTCCTCGTCGATAGAAGCATCAACGTGGACCCAAGGGCTCGACCTGCTCCCCTTTTCCGCCGCCTTGAAGGTCTCACATGCGGTCCAAATGTTCGACGTACCGTGAGCAGTGTGACGACTCAAAATAATGCACCAAGCAGCACTGCAGACGTGCCATGCGGGGGTGTTGTGCGCGGCTGCGGTGCGGACGATATCGTCAACATCAAAGCCGTGGAGATCGTGGTGCAAGACATTCTGCTTCTGGGGCTCTGTACAGAGACCTTGAACCTCGGATGCATAGTACTCTTTAAGACCCTGGGGAAACATCTTTCAAATGAGCTATCTGTGCGAGATTCGGTTCAGGATGTGGTGGCCTATAAGTCACCGCCGGAGCCAAACGACTCGCTCGGTAAATCAAGCATGCCTCTGGTTATAGAGCATTCGCAGACACGATGCACTGGCAACGGCCGGATTGCCTTTCGTCCCTCCATTCAGCAATTTGCAGGGTAAGAAAACACCTCTGGGACCGAGTGAAGACCGTGGTCGGACAATGGCCCACCGGCATAGGGCCGACGCCCGCGCCATGCGTAGCAAGCTTAGGGGGACCTACCAGTGTCTGGCGATGGACAGACGGACAAGCAACCCAACCAACCGCATGAAGCCCGAGCAGCTGATGGCACAAACTAAGCCTCTCATGACCAGATCCGATCCCCGAGCCAATTTTGATCGGGTCATTGTCATTTCCCCACCCCCTTTCTGGACCCTGGAACGAGGGGACGTTGAAACTAATCAACATTGTGACGATGGGCTCACGACTCCAATGCACTTTTTTCCGATCCTCAGAAGACTGTAAGACGACGCCCAGCCGGTATGTTACGTAGAGCATTAGTATACAAGACACTAGAAATCTCCCAGTGGGCCTACTTTTTAAGGGTCGCTGTGTTTCTTTCCTGCTTCCCGTCTTCTACTACATCTTTCCCTACAGCACAATGACCGGCACCACCGATGACCTGCCTAATACCTGTCACCATCCGCCAGAGAGCGGTTTTCAAATGGGGGGTAAGCTTTTTCACGTGAGAACCCGACCTTCCACTTTGATCCAAGCCCAGGCTCGACTGCATCCATCGCGGGTGTGCCTCGTCGCGAGTTCCGGAGAGTACGATTTCGACCGCCTCTGGAGCTCAGTGCAGGCAAGCGCCAGTCAGCTGCTACAACAAAACCTGTCTCTGGGGGCCCGCGTGGCCATCGTGGCAGAGTCCTCTCCCATCGCCATTGTGGCTCTCCTGGCTGTCCTCCACCTCGGTGCTGTGGCGGCCCCCCTCAATGCCTCGCTGCCAACTGCGCGGATTCACAGCATCATCCGCACCGGCAGGTTCACTCATCTAATTAATCTGTCCTCTCGCTCCTCAGATTTCGAGCTTCCAGGAGTGATCAATCTTGCTTTGGACCTGAGCCAACCGACGTGCAAGTCCCCGGCAGCGCGGAATCACTTCCCGGAGGTTGATCCCCAGGCACCTGCCATCGTCTTTTTCACATCCGGCAGCACAGGAGAACCGAAAGGCGTCGTTCACAGCCATGTAAGTTTGAGTACAATGGCCGTGAACGTGGCCAAGGTCTTGGAAATCGACTCCACCGTGCGTAATTTCCTCTTTCCTTCTTTCGGCTGGGCCATGAACATCATCGATTCTCTGTCGACCCTGGCGGCAGGGGGGTGTCTTTGCATTCCCACCGAAGCCGAAAAGTCTCACAGCCTGGAGGAGGCCATTTCGCTGTTCAGTGCCACCCGAACCACACTGCCTTCGTCCGCCTTACGGATCATGAACCCCAGCGCTGTCCCGTCCTTGACTCGCGTCGTGCTCGCCGGCGAACCCATACACTCAGATGTGGCGTCGATCTGGTTGCCCCACGTGAAGGTCTATTGGAACTACGGTTCTTCGGAGACGCTGATGGTCCTCGCCGGGGTGGTCGGCGAGCAGAGCCCTGGGGCGCTAAACGCCGGTCGTCCGCTGGCCTGTTGTCGGTGCTCGATCGTAGACGAGGCACGCTTAGAGGTCCCGACAGGCCATTCAGGCCAGCTCGTTGTCGAAAGCCATACCAACTTCATGGGTTACCTGCGAAACGGCGAAATCGATGCACCTGACGACCAACCGATCGGCCATCCCGTCGTGGTCCATTCGGGGGACCTTTTCAGTCAGGCGGGGCCAAATGCGGTTCTGGTGCATCACGGACGCATTGATTCACAATTGAAGATTGCGGGCCAGCGCTTTGAGCCGCAGGAGGTGGAGGAGAAGCTGCTGCTGGCGCTAGCTGACGTGAAGGAGCTGGCCGTTACTGTAGCGACCCTGAAGGGCAACTCCGAAGGACCAGTCCTCGTGGTCGTTGTGGTGCTCGAGCGCAAGGGAACGAGTGCGTCCTCGTCTGAGGCCCGACTGCGCTGCGCCTTCGAGTGGCTCGTTCAGACGCTGCCCCGCTATATGATACCCATCGGGGGCTTGGAGGTTGAAAAGCTTCCCCGGCTGCAAAACGGCAAGCTGAATCGAAAAGGCATTATTCACTTAGCAGAGCAGCAAGCAGTCTCCGACCTGATGGACCTGCGACCTCCGCGTGGGGCGGACTCCCGCGATCTGGATCCTATCTTGGTTCGCAGGGTCGCCCAGGTTTGGGCAAGTGTGCTGGCTATTGAGCTAACAGAGATCAAGCCCACGTTAAGTTTTTTTCTCCTGGGTGGCAACTCCCTATCCGCGATGCGAGCGTGCAAGGAGCTGCGACGCGAGGGTATACTCCTTGCCATGTCCGACTTGTTTCTGCATCCCACCTTGAGTGAGCTAGTAGACTTCATCATGAAGCACAACAAAACGAGGTCATTGACGGAGCCTAGCCACATAAAACGAAGCACGGAATTCGAAGGCACGGCCCAAGATATTCTCCAAGAACTTCTGCTGAGGGCAGCCAGGGACTGTGCCGTCGATCCAAAGATGATTGAGGATATCTACCCTTGTACAGCTCTGCAGACAGGACTTATGGCTCTGAGTGAGATTCACGCAGGGGCGTATGTGGCGGAACACGCCTTCCACCTGCCAGTCTCATGGACTGTGGCAGCCTTCCAAGAGGCCTGGCTCCGAGTACTCGCGGGGACGCCTATTCTGCGCACCCGCATCATTCGAGATCCCAACGGCAGGTCGCACAATGTCACCCTGCGGCCGTCAGCGGACCCAGGAATAGCTGTTCCGCAAGGGGCGTTGCCAGCCTTTGTGCCTCCCATGAGCTGCGGGTCGCCCCTGTTCTGTCACTCTCTGGACACAGACCCAGAGCATGAGAGGTTGATCTGGCGCTGGCGAGTACATCATGCCATCTACGACCGCTGGTCCACCCATCTGATTCTGGATTTGATGCAAAAAATATACAGGAAGGAGACTCCGAGCCCTTTGACTCCGTTCTCCCGATTCGCCCGTGCCGCGGTTGAACAGGAGAGCTCCGAAGCCGCGATCAGCTTCTGGCGGAACAAATTCGAGTTATTCAGTGGGACGGTCTTTCCTCAGCTGACCCTAGATCATGCGAAGTCTCGTGCCTCGGATCATCTCCCCTTCGAAATCTCCATTCCGCCGCGACGATCCGCGACCACGCAGGCTACGACAATCCAAGGGGCGTTGGCACTGCTGATCTCCAAAGTTCATGGCGAGTCGGATGTGATATTTGGTACCACTATTCACGGAAGAGCCCTAGCGAGTTGCCCAGACGCAGAGACAGTGGTGGGACCTGCCATTGCCACGGTTCCTATGCGCATCCAAGTGGAGGGAACCACCTCAGTGGCGCAGTTTCTCGACGCATTGCAAACTCAAGCGGCACTCGTGTCAGTCTATCAGCATTATGGTCTGCAGAACATCAAGGCACTAGGGCCTGGGCCGGCGGCGGCTGCCTCCTTCACCACTCTCCTGATTATCCAGCCCGAGATGGATGGAGATGCCCCGGATCCGCTCCACATGATCCACGAGATCGAGCTCGGAACCGCAGATGGCTACGTGGACTACCCTCTGGTTGTCGAGTGCTTTCCACAAGCCCAGATTCTCAGGGTCAAGCTGTTGTATGACCCAGTGGTCTTCTCCTCGTGGGAGATGCAGATGATGGCTCAGCAATTCAGGCACGCCTTTGACGCCCTACACACCACGCAGGATCCGACAACATTACTCCGAGACCTGAGTCTCCTGGATAAGGAGAGCGTGCCCGCCGTTCTGCGCATGAGCCGCGGCGAACTGATTGACCACCGCGAGTGCCTCCATGAACGAATCTTTGCCAAAGCGCACGCTTGGCCGGACTCCGAAGCCCTTCACGGGTGGGACGCGCGGTACACCTACGAGGAGCTTCGGAGCCTGGTCTGGCGCCTGGCCTCGCGGCTCGCGCCCTTGCTACCCTGCAAGCCAGGGCAGATTGTCCCCATCTGCTACCCTAAGTCTGCCGCGGCCGTCGTGGCTATGCTGAGCATCCTGACAGCAGGCCACGCCTTCCTCCTGCTGGACCCCGCACTACCACCGCAGCGCATCCGGTATATGATCCAGGCGGCCAAGGCGGACCGCGTGCTCTGCACGTCTGCAACCCACCATCTGGTGGCTGACATGGGACCCCTTGTGGTCAATTTCCAGAGCATCTGGGACACTCCGTCCGTGGCGCCGGACGACGGTTTCTTCGAGCTGCAGACGTCGCCAGACCGCCCGGCCTACTGCATCTTCACCTCCGGGTCAACGGGGGCCCCCAAGGGAGTGGTCCTGCTCCACCGACAGGTCACCAGCGGGCTCGAAAGTCAGATCGCAGCCGGGCTTTACAAGCGCCAATCTCGCCTGCTGCAGTTCGCAAGCTACAGCTTTGATACGTGCATTGCCGACATCTTCGCGACCCTCCTGAGTGGGGGTTGCATCTGCGTCCCACAAGATGAGGACCGTCTGTTACGGCTAGCCGACAATATCAACGCATTTGCCGCCACGGCCGTCGACCTGACGCCATCCGTTGCCAGGATGCTCCAACCGCACGAGGTGCCCGATTTGCAAGTGCTGCGCCTTGGGGGTGAGCCGATGCATCAATACCACGTCCAGACCTGGGCGAATCGCTGCAATCTCCAGAACACCTACGGTCCCACCGAATGTTGCGTGCAGTGCACGTTCGTTGACCGGGTGCCCCAATTCTTGTCGCCAGCTGTCATCGGCAAGAGCATTGGGTGTCATCTCTGGGTTGTTGACCCGCAAAATCACAAGTTTCTCATGCCGCTGGGTATGGTGGGCGAACTGGCAATTCAGGGTCCCGCGGTGGCTAATGGCTATATCAACAACCCGGCCAAGACGGAGGCGCTGTTTCTCCCCAGTGCCCCGTGGCTCGAGACCTATGGTATTGATTGTCTTTACCCGGTCTACTTGACAGGCGATTTGGTTCGATTTAACGAGCAGGGCGACCTAGTCTTTCTCGGCCGCAGGGATAGCCAGATCAAGATCCGGGGCCAGCGCGTCGAGCCGGAAGAAATCGAGCACGTCCTACAGCAGGATGAGAGGACGGACCAAGCTCTGGTTTGCTATCCCACCACAGGCGTGCTCGCGATGCAACTGGTCGCTATCCTTGAGCCCTCCCCTGCCGCCGCCAGACTGTGCGCGCAAGATCAGCCGGGGGCGTGGATGGAGCCCATCGCCCGTAAGGCTGCCGAGTTCTTGCCACTGCACATGGTGCCCGCTGTGTTTCTAGCAGCCGACCAGAGCTTATTGATGTCATCCGGCAAATTGGACCGTCGCAGGGTACAGACATGGCTGGAACGGCTGGCGCTGGAGGAGCTCGAAGCCTTGCATTTGTATCATCCCGCCTCAGCGAGGCCACACGATGCGAAGTCCACCGAAACAGCCGCCGACCTGCCCGACGCCCTGACAGCACCCATCCTCAACCAAATCCAGTCCCTTCTCGCATGGAGATCGCATATCGGTCCTCAATCCGCCACAAATCATTCCCTTGTGCATTCCTTCTCTCGTATTGGGCTGGATTCAATCACCATTATTCCGTTCCTCCGGTGGATCAACCAGACCCACTCCGTCCACTTGGACGTGCCCAGTCTTCTGCATCTTGATAGCGTGCAGGGACTCGTCTCCTATCTCAGAAGTCAGCAGGCAAGCCTCCCGGCCAAGCAGAAGAAGCGCAGCGATGAGAGGACGGAGGATCCCGAGACCTTCGAATCCATGATCCGTCAAGGGGTGGACCGGCTCTGCCAGAAGAAGCATCCTATTGTTTTGGAGCGCGAGCTGTCCAAGAAGACCCCCTTAAGCCGACTGGTCGGTAAGGTGGCCGGGTCGCAGATGACTCTGGTGCGACGTCTTTCTCGCCGCATCAGCTCGCGATTCGAGCCCCGCCGCGTGTTATTGACCGGGGGCACCAGCCTTGTCGGATTAAACATTCTCACCCGCCTGCTCGAACGCTTTCCACGGACGCGGGTTGTGGTCCTAGTGCTCTGTAACACGGCCGACGAGGGTAAGGCCCGGCTTGTCGAGCGCGCCAGCCTCTTGCGGTCCTGGCGCCGCGACTTTACTCCCCGAATCGAGGTTTGGCCCGGCGATCTGAGCGCGACGCGGCTGGGGCTACTGCCGGCGCAATGGGACGCGCAGCTGGGCGGACGAGGGGGTAACGCAACCAACTACGTAGACGCAGTTATCCACAACGGGGCTGCGGTCGACTGGTTCGCGAACTTTGCGACACTTCAGGCAACGAACATTGACGCGACGCTGCAGCTTGCGGAATGCGTGCGAGACGCCGCCACTATCACTCGACTTGTGTATGTGTCCGGTGGGCCACAGTGGATGCCAGACGAACCCGACACTGCGGCGTTGGAGCCGGTGACGGGGGAAAGCTCGGTGCAGCACCTCCACTCCAGCCTCGCCCAGTCCAACGCCTACGGGCGTACGAAGCTGATCACCGGGGCAATACTGCAACGCGCCGCCGCCCGCAGCATGGATCTAGCCGGCAAGGTGGCCGTGCTCCGCCCAGCACTTATTATCGGTGCTGCTGCCGATGGGGTGGTCAACATGGACGACTTCCTCTGGCGCGTGGTCCGCGGCTGCTGTGCCCTAGGGGCATTTCCACGCGAGGACCCGGCGGAAGACTGGATCTACCTCTGCGGCGCGGACTACTTTGCCAACCTGATCATCTCCCGGCTGACGGCCGTGCCGCGCCCCGGGGAGATTAAGGTCCTTGCCGGCCTGACAGCCAGTCGCTTTTGGGCCATCGTGCAGCAGGAACTTGGGGTCTCTATGGAGGCCTTGGACGTCCCGACCTGGTTACACCGGCTGAAACGGAGCATTGCCGCGCAGACCACTCATCACCATTCCGCTACTGAAGTCCATCCCTGTCAGCCGATTCTGCATATGCTTGAGAGCTCCTCATCTGGCCCGCTGGGCGCGGCCCGGCCTCGAATCTGTGCGGATACAGAACGGCGTCGCCGGATGGAGGCGGAAGCGGCCCGCGTGGTGACGATGAATGTGCGGTACATGCACAAGATCGGCTCCTTCTCTACTGCTGAGGAGGCCTGGTCGGATCAGGTTTTCCACCGAAATAAAACACGGTAGAGAAGCACGATGCTTCATCAACTGCTCCTGCATACAATCTTGCCCATCCCGGCTGGTCTTAAGAACAGGCTTTTGGGGGGGG